AGGGCATGTGGGTTGAGTGTATACTCCCAACCTGTGAAGGAGAGAAGAAAAGACTCCATTGACAGGACTACTGGTTGAGACCATGCTCCATATTTCCTGTTTTTTTCAGCACCTTCCATCCGAATGACCTCGTCAGTGACACAGGACTACTGCACAGCTGGTAGAAAACGCACATCACAGTGCTTTCCCGAATCGCTGGTTGCCCAAACAGTGGCCGAGCGACGAGCTCGAGCAGAAGCTCTGGATGCCGAGCGACGACGGAAGCATCAGGCAAAGTTGGAGGCGTCTGAAGCCGCACTGCAAGCAGCCTGTCAACGAGCGCGGAGTCTGAGGGCGGCGAGAAGTGCTGAACTGCGCAGTAAAGAGGAGGAGAAGAGAGCAAGGGTGACCGAACGACGCAAAATGCTCGAGAAGGTTGGCTGCAAATTTACTTCCTTAAAAAAATGAAGATAAAATTTTATATCAAATGGTAGGCTTTCTGATAGTTTTCATTAGCCCTTTAGTTGACTTCAGGCTTCACAGAGGGGAGGAGGAACATCAAAGCGAAAAAAATCGAAAGGGGGGGGGGGGGGAACAGATGAATGTTTTAAAGATATAAAAGAGAAAGACACAAAGGTAGATGAAAGGTGAGGTGAGTACTGTGGAAGTGATCGAATATGACACACAGTGGGGTCATGATAGTTTGAAGTCAGAAGTCAACTGCCGATAAATAGACTTTTTTGCCACATGAGTATACGTTGCCCAGGGTGCACCACGTGGAGGTAAGTCTATCGCACACCCCATGAAGATAAAAATAAACTCACTAAAACTAAAATTTTAGTTGTCATCAATAAGTAGTTAACTTCTGTTCAAGCAACATCATACCAAGTCTTCTCTGTCTGTGGAAGTTCCTTAATGTTAGTTACATGAATATATTCACCAGTCACATAAATTTTATTTTCCATTAGAGAAAATTAGTAAATAAAATCCTTCAGAAATATCAAATAAATCCCTAACCAATAAAGCGATATAGCTTTCAATTCAAACTTTATTCCCTTCCAAGGCCAATAGAAATGTCATTTTGTCATCAAACCTCACACTGCTCGAGCACATCAATAATTGCCCCTGGTCATTATGGCATCTGCAAAGACAGAGATTTCTCAAGCATAAAGCAATTCTTGACACAAAGACGGTGGGGGAGGGGTGGTTCTAGAATAATGAAATAAAACACCAAAGTGAAAGTACTTTTTGTGGTGCCATGACATGTGATGAGGTTGCTCGGTGAATTCCCTAGTGAATTCGATGTGCACGCTAAAATAAATTAGATAAATTTCTCTTGAACTAACCTTTCTCCTTTAATTAAACTTCCTTCAATCGTAGAAGCTGTTGATTCTAGCTGGAAATAAAGCCATTATATAGCCATACTGTAGGAAGATCATTAAATATAGCAAGTCTCTTATAGCTGAAGGATCGCACAGAAAGTGGATTTCGATTCCATTCATCACGTGCCAGTATTTCATCCCAAATCCCTGACTACACAGACAAATATAAGTCAAGCCCTCCAATTTTGAATTCATGAGGTGATGCATGAGGTAGATTTGGAAGCTTACCAAATTCTTCATTGCCACAGAAAATAACAATAATCGATATCTTAACTTGATCCACTGATTGAAGAATTACAAAAGTTCCTACGTCATTGTACTAAATTGCATGATCTAAGCTAAATACCCTCGTGTCCCATTGGCATACGGGGGTCAATTATTATTTATTTATTTATATCAAATGGAAGGCTTTATGATAGTCACCAATAGCCCTTGATTTGACTTCGGGCTTCACCGAGGGGAGGAGGAATATCAAAGTGACAAAATGTCGAGGGAGGGGAGGGGGGAACAGAAGAGTGATTCACAGATGTAAAAGAGGCAGGCAGGCACAAAGGTTGAGACGAAGGTAAGGTGGGTACTGTGGAAGTGGTCGAATATAACATACAATGGGTTTGTAGTATTTTGAAGTCAGAAGTCGACTGCCGGTTTATGAAACCTTTGAGTCTATTTTAAAAAATTAATATTTTAATGAAAAGGTAATTGACCCGTTTCAATATTATGCTAGTTGTTTTTGCTGTCATAATCGTCAGATTTAACTTCGATTTCTATCCACTTCCTCCGTTTTCTCAAATTCAACCAATTTTTCACTATTCACCAGTTCCACAACAGTTCCTGGTCCTGTTGTTTTATTCACTTCGATTTAAGGAAACTAAAGGAAATTTCGCTCCAACTTCTAAAGTAGCCTTACTATGTAAATGCCTTGTCGCTTCTTCAAGATCGTGAACTTTCTTTAGCATCGAGAGGAGTTTCTAAACCGTCGAATAATGAGAACGACAAACTCTCAATCTCAAGAGCATCCATCTCAACACGCCTCGTCAAGAGTTTCAATCTGTGGATTCTCCTCCGATTTGGACCCTTCCGATCCTCGTTACTGTCCATTCGGTTTCGGAAGCTCAAGTCGTCGAGATGTCTGCTTGTCCACAAAGCAACAATTGATCGCTCAAAAGCCGCCTCAGTCAATAAATAGGCTCTCCAACTCAATGACATCAAATTCTCTGTCAAGATTGAATAAAACTTCAACCGACATGATATCCTCAACGAATACTGTTGATAGAGGTCAAAGAGCTAATTTAACTACTCCTCGATCCCTGAAAGAGAGGAATAGAGGGTTTGTAAATTCGAGAGCAAACTCTGTTTCCAAAGCCTCCAACCGTGAGTTCTCTGAGAAACCAACTATTTTTTAGGCTTACTCTCAATCATAACACCGCTCATTTTGACCCCTAGAAAGTACATTTGACAGAAGCAACACCAAAAAGGTACCCACATATCCCACGTCTAATGGAAACAATATCAAAGTATCAAAAGGTACGTTTGATTAACTAATAAATTTTGGTAAAAAGTGTCGCGTTTAGTCTAAGTAATTTCATGTCTCTTTCAGAAGTAACCAAGGCGTCTCGTTCTGCCAAGGCCACGCAGGTAATGATGAATATCTTTCATGCTTTTCTGAGTCGCCAGTATTTTACTTGGTTAAAAAAATAAGTAGCACATAGGGGCATAGTGAGCCAGCGAGAGTTGTTGTACATCCAAGCAATTCTTACGTGAAAAGTATTGAAAAAATGTCATTGAGTTTGCTTATAAACCACGAATTTAACAGTTTTCTTTGTGTTGAAATTTCTATTGACATTTTGAAACAGTGCTGAACGAATTCAATGTAATTTAAAATTACTTTATTGAATTTAGAAGCATATAAATATATATATATATATATATATATATATATATCTTCATTATGGTGTGGTATCATTTTCGAAGTAAAATTAATATATTCGTGCTAAGGGTGCTATTTAATAAAACATCAAAAAAATGGATTTTTTTATTTTGATTTAAATTTTTCCCACTTGATCACTCAAGAGGGCTATTTAAAGTACCAGATCATGCGAATTCCCCAAGTCAACTTTTCAGATCTACTTTGCTACGGCCAAAACACGGTGATTCTTTTCCTTCTACAAAATGATAATTACCTCGCCTATTCAACTCATTATTGACTCTTCATGCTTTCACGAGGCTGTAAGTAACATGGTTACCTTAAAGCTGCGTTTAATCGCCTGGAAGAAGATCGTTTTGGATTGACCCAGATGTTATGATCTCAAAGGCATGAGAACGGCATATTCACCCTGTTATAGAGGCGCACAAAATTCAGACAAATTGGTGATTTGGCTTAGCTTCAATTTAAATTAAGCACTCTCTTATACGAGACCTCTAGTGATAAGGACATATATAAAACAGTTTTTATTGACTCTGTAGCAAGCCGATTCTTTACCATGTATTATTATTATTTCAAATGGCAGGCTTTGTGATATTTATCATTAGCCCTTAAACTTTGACTTCAGCTTCCCCCATTTGTGGGGGTACATTTATAGCAGTTCATTAGTTGTCTTCTTGCTTCCAATTATCTCTGGCTTTCCGTCGTTGTCTTTAGGGCTGGACACCGAATCAGGTGGGTCTTCTCCATTTCCTCCTGTAGGTTGCATAGGGGGCATGTTGGTTGAGTGTATACTCCCAATCTGTGAAGGTGTTTTGCCAAGCAATCGTGTCCGGTACTTAGTCTGAACTCACCAACGGCTTCGATTCTTGGCCAGTCGGCTATATCGGAGAGGTTTCTTTACCACGTATCAAATACTATATATCGGAAAATTCATTTTTCATTTCTAACAGTATGATAGTCTGGACTGCCAAAGGTTTCTTTTTGAATTACGAAAGGACATTGCATAGTGCCATTCAATGCAGGTAAACGGAATATTGGAAGATATCGAATAAGAAGATAGCCCAAAAGAATGTTTATACTGTACTTTAGTAAGTACAAGCATAAGTAAGCCCAATGCAGTTGTAATTAAGTTAGCATGGAGGGGGGGGGGTTTGCATGATGTGTAATGTATGTATGAGGCATGAAAGGAGGGACTAAAAGTAGGATGGAAAAGTAGGAAAGAAGGCTGCCCGGTGTCTTGTGTGTAGCTACTTCCACCAGAAGTGATGATGACAAGTGATTGCGACTCTTGATCCAGCCAATGATCACACTGACCTCCCATCAGGCTGTCCTGCATGTCGACGCGGGTGTTTCTGTTTGTCCTAGTTGGGTTGTGTGACTATTGGGAATCTCCCATGGGTAATGATAGCTCCTTCCTATGATCGATAAAAACCTCAATTGTTAATTTCATTTCCCACAAAAATTTGATTAAGAAGTAAGGAATGACAGTGTTACACAGACTTCAAGCAATTGATAAAAGGAGCTTTTTATCGATTTTTTACCGGTCCAATGGTGAGATTTTAAATTCGATTAGAGAACTTTGATCAGTCACTTGGATAGTCAGCTGTAGCAATGGAGATGGAGGTGGTTGGTAGGTAGGTGATGGGGGGGGGAGGGAGAAAGTAGAGTTCTGGTGAAATAAGAGCGTGAATTCTACCACCCTCCATACCGGCCTCTTTAAACCACTGTCGGCTGGCTATTCCACTCACTTAACGTGTGCCGATGGGCGTGGAACTCGTGATCTCTAAAATCGTAGTCACGATCAATATCAATGCTCCAGCATCACATGTGTGTGTGTGTGCTGAAGATGGAGTTTTAACAGGAGTTGTTTTCTAATACCTTTACTTCTGCTCATGACAACTTTAAGTGAAGAAATGAAGCTCTCATTTCCCTGTCATTAGAGTCAACCTATCATACCTACAAATTAAGTCTTGTAGATATTTTTGGCTAGCGTAACTCAAGGTAAAAGTTGCTTCAGAGAGAATTTTAATGTGCCTGAAATCGGAAACTCGATTTTTGTCACCTGATACCCAGTTGATTCATCAGTAGCCATTGTTTAAATTTTCAGTTAAATTTTTTAGGTCCAAAATTTTGATTTCTAATAACGATTTATTTTGAAAAATAAAAATTGGTGATATAGTGAATTATATATATATATATATATATATATATATATTAAAGGTATCGTAAATGAAGGTAAATTTCGATGACTAACTAGAAAGAGATAAATTCAAAATGTGAAAAGCGTTATTTAATCTATTTGCGCAAAACATCCAATTTGCATTGTACTGGGATGTGAAAATTTTTATAAAAAAATCTGCTTTAGTATGTGAGAGTGAAATTTTAAGATTTTCATCTTATTTCTAAAGGAGCTATGCATAGCTTGAGATATTTGGAAAAACTATGTTCGGCTGAAACTTGCTACGCTTATAAGCCCAGTAATTCCTGAAGCCGGACCTCCTTGTTTGGAATGGTTTCCAGCATTAGCTATAGAGGAAACAGAAGTATGACGCGGAAAACGTTTAGTTGGACTGTTGTGTCTGTCACAGAGTTAATTCACTTAAGTACAATGAAGGATTCTTTGTTTTTTCAAACAATGCGGGAATTATTAATTGGTAAGCTGGTTGAGAGGTCTCTGTGCTCACGGTATGAATCGCTCCCTACACAACAAGTAACTTGGCGCATGCGATTTCTTTGTTCAATCATGACAGCGTTGTGAGGTGACAGAGGAAAATGGCATTGAAGGTATTTTCCTTATTACACATTTTGCCCGATAAGATTCAGTACTTATCTTGCGGGTCCTTGCAGGAGGGAAGTTGATCTTATTCCGAGGTTAGCTACTCTAGTTGCCAGGTAAATAATCGTTTTAGAGACCTCAAGATTTCTTAAAAAAAGAGGAAGAAGAAACTTGAGGGAAAATGAGTCGACATCAGTGGGAAAAGTCAATCAGGACTGTGATGAACCAGTCAAATCGGATCCAATAAGGCGATTGGTAGAAGTTGGGCCCAGTGTTTATGCATGACAGGTAAAGGAGGGGGAGGGGGGAGAGGTATGAGTCAGTGAGCGTACAATCATAATTGATCAAACAAATGACTGGATAACTTAAATTCCATCAGTTTCCCTGTTTTTTTTCTGCCCTTTTTCAGTCGTTAGCACGGAACTTTGACCCCAGTCATTGTTCTGCCCTTTGAGTAAATGCAGCTTAACGTTGCAGCCAAAGGACTGTAATTTGTGCGCCACTTGTGAGCGAGGACAATCAGGTTCGTGAGAAACTGAAGTAAATGTTGATTTAATTAGAGGGGGTTGTAGGGCACCACGATCAATCGTCATTTATTAATATCTAAATAGCAAATACTAAGTGGTAAATGGGTATAAACACAATAGAATCATATAAGCTAGACAATAGGTTTGTCATTAGACATATTTTCTAATAGAAAGCCGAGGGGGGGGGGACAGGAGAGTGATTCAAAGATGTAAAAGAGGCAGACAGACACAAAGGTAGAGAAAAGGTAAGATGAGTACTGCGGAGGGGGTAGAATATGACATACAGTGGGGTCATGATAGTTTGAAGTCAGAAGTCAACTGTCAGTTTATAGACGTTTTTGCCGTATGAAAATACGTTGCCCAGGGTGCACCACGTGGAGGTAAATCTATCTCATACCCCATAAACGCAATATATTCATATAAGATAGACTATAAGCTTATCATCAGACATGTTTTCTAACAGTAAGCCTTAATTACTTTCAGCCGGCTAGAGAAGTGGTAGCTACTACGTGTTGCCAAGGTATTCCCCCAAGACCTGATTCGCGTGGAAGGCCACAGAGTGTTAGAAGTGTGAAAAATACAGCTTCCAGGCCTCATTTGTCCCCGTCAAGCCTTGATCGGAAGCTCGGTGGAAGGGGAAATGGCACTCCCACTGTCACACCCAGATGCCCTCCAATTAGTGTGAGCGCCGGATGTGAACCAAGTGAGGCGGATGCCCAGGCCTATCGTGAGAGGATCAAGGAACAGCGCAGAATCGCTCGAGAGCGAAAGAGACGTGAAGAGGAGGAAACCGTCAAACGGTAAGTTAATAGCGCTACACAAAATGAAATTGATTCCATGGTAGAATAAACAGCAGGAATAAGCAATATGCATGGAAGAAAATGTATCAACACTGAAGGGGGGTAAACATTTTATGTAACTTTTTTGTAGATTATCAAGGCTAGGGGTTGCATGGCAGATTACGTTGAAATGCCAAAACAAAAACGACGTAGATACCATTAAGGAAGAAGTTGAAAACGTATATCTCAAACATTTATTTATATCAAATGGCAGGCGTCTTGATGGTTATCATTAGCCCTTTAATTGACTTCAGGCTTCACAGAGGGGAGGAGGAACATCAAATTGAAAAAATTCGAGAGGGGAGGGAAACAGAAGAGTGTTTCAAAGATGTAAAAGAAACAGAGAAAAGGTGAGGGGAGTACTTTTGAAGGGGTCGAATATGACATACAGTGGGGTGATGGTAG